ATCTTATCCTTATAGTCTAAAGTATAATTTAAATTTCCCTAAGTCTAGAGAATTTATATTCTTTCTATCTACCTATTTTATATAAATTGGTATTATTTCGTTTATAGGGATCGAAGTCTAGGCGGGAGTCTAAGAGCGTAGGAAGGTAGAAAAAGTCGTTAGGGGGATTTTCGAAAGGAACTTTAATCGGGTATTTCGACAAGGAATTTCAAAGGTATAAGTAGTTGATTTCCCGGCTTAAAAGGAGCAAGCCGGGCTTATAACCTCTTAAGGTATATAAGCAAAAGCGGAATTTTAGGAAATCAAGGAATTACGTAAGACTACGTAATAGAGGGGAAGAAGGAGTATAAGGTAGGACTTTTAACGGAATTTATTAGTAGTATATTAGTATATAGAAGAGGTGTTAAAGTTAATAATTCTCTATCTATCTACTAGCGGACATGCTGTCTTATATAGATAATTGTAGCTGAACGGAAGAACCTTTCGGGACTAGATTTAGGCTGCCGTATAGCCCTAAGACTGGGAAATTCCGTGATACCTCGAGTAAATCTAGAAGTATCTTGGTTCTACTAATATTCGTGTTTAAAGGAGGTTGGTCGTGCCGGTGTTCTTAAGAGGTCTTAGCTAGCATTCTAAGCTAGCTCTATTCCTTCGATTCTGATTATACGATAACCGGCAACCCGTTTATATAATAACATGTAAAATAACGAGCAATTCTTGCTCTATAGGATAAGATTTGTCTATAATTAATATACTACTTATTAGCTTATATAATCGGGAGAGTATATTATAGCTGCTTTATTTATAGTAGGAACACCGTTCCTTATAAATACTAAAGTTATAGATAAGCTAAACTAGCTTCCTTAGCTCGTTCTATTTATCTAGCTCTAACGGACTATCTTCTCCTTAGCTTTTATAGTATATAGTACGCTTAGTACCATAGTCTCCCTATTAATATAGATGCCTTATAAGGTGATATAGTAGTTAGCTACCTATACTTTTAACTTTAGCTTTAAATCTAAGCGTTAAGCGCTAGTTTATAGCGGTATATATACTTATAGGTATAGTCTAGAGCCGCTATCTTATCTTATAAGCGTTAAAGGGCCTTATCTTAAAATACTCTTACCAGCGCGCGCATAGGATGGTCTATCCTCTTATTAAACTAAGGTAAGGTATGGGGAAAGCATTTAGTAGTAAGTATAAGGAAGCTTATTTACTATACCGCGCTTCCTTTACTAAGGCTCTTATATAAGTCTATAGCGCTTCTTATAAGATAAGCTATAGATCCTAGGCCTCGATATCCGTCTTATCGGCCGGTCTTAATCCCTTTAAGAAAGCGCGTCTAAGACTATAGAGTCCGCTTAAAGCGGTACTTAATTAAGTTAAAGTATAAAGATACTCCGCTAGCGGGCTTACCGCTTTAAGAGGTACTAGTAGGTTATAAAGTACTTAAGGTTCTTATAGTTTATAAGAACCTTAAAGCCTTATAGCTCTAGAGCTCTACTTACTATTACTTAAGGTAGCTAATAATCGCTAGTATCTCTTTATTATTATAGGAACGGTATTCCTACTATAAATAAAGCAGCTATAATATACTCTCCCGATTATAAGCTAATAAGTAGTATGTTAATTATAGATAAAATCTTATCTTATAGAGTAAGAATCGCTCGTTATTTTATATATTATATATTAAACGGGTTACCGGTATTATATAATTAGGAATCGAAGAATAGAGCTAGCAGAATACTAGCTAAGACCTCTTAAATACTAGTATAACTAACCTCCTTTAAACATAAATATTAGTAGAACTAAGACACTTCTAGATTTACTAAGTATTGTAATTCCTAGTCTTAAGCTATACGGTAGCTTTAATCTGGTCCCAAAGGTTCTTCCTAATATATTATAAAGATGTCCGCTAGTAGATAAATAAATTATTATTTAACACCCTTATATACTCTAATATATTACTAATAAATTCTATAAAAATCCTACCTTCTTCCTATTATATAGTCTTACGTAATTCCTTATTTCTAAAATTCGCTTTCTATATACCTTAAGAATATAAATAGCGTAATTCTACTACTAAGGTTAGCTTATAAGAGTAGAACGCTATTAATAACTTCTACTTATCTACCTTTTAAGAAAGCGTTCCTTTAAGTACCTAGCTACTATAGTTTACTTTAACTAATATAAACTAGTTAAAGTCCTACTAAAGTAGTACTAGGGCTTATAAGAATAAGTATTAAGCGTATAAAACGCTCGTTCTTATATAGGCCCTTAACGAAAAGCGGTCTATTTCTTAGTAATCTCGTTTAAAAGCATTATAATATAAGAAGCCCTTAATAAATATCCTATAATAGTTCATGAACTTAAGGAAGCTCTATATACCTATTTATATAGTTAGGGCCGCTTAGTCCTAGATCGCTTAGATCTTTATAAGATCCGCTTATATACTTATACTTATATAAATAATAAAGCTTAGGTACTTAACCCTCTTAACCTTAAATTTATACTTATTTAAGTTAAGTGAGAGCTTATAAAGTTAGAGGCGCTTTAAGACCTCTATACTTTCTATATATAGTCCTTATAAGAGCAGCTTATATAAATAGGATATTATTTATATATATAAAAGCGAACTTATTAAGGAAGTTTTAAAGTATATTATTAATATAATACTAAAAGGTAATAGGCGCTCTTAAGAGGCTAAGGGCGTTATAAGCTACTTAAATAAGCTATAGCGTATATAGAACGCTATCTTTTACTTATTACCCTCTAGATCTATACCTTATAAAATACTTATTTTATATCTAGCTTTATAAACTACTTTACCTTTAAGAGGTTATAGAGCGTATCTAAGATTAAGGGGGGTAGCGGTCTAGCCTTATAATTACGTTTAGAGCCTATAGTTATAATAGAACTGTCACGACCCTGGGCGCCGGCGTAGAGAGCCAGCGCAGAACCTCACCAGTGTCACGTGCCCAAGCAGCATCGTGCCCACGCGCGACCTCGTGTCTATATAAGGGCCCGCTCGGTCGTGTAGTCTAGTCTTCCTTTCTTGCTCCTTAGCTTTGAGTCTTTGTTCATAGTGCCAATACATCTTTATAGCCGTCAAGGCTCGTATGTGCCTGGCCGTAACACTACTCAAAGCTCAATAAGATCGCTTGCCAGCGATTAAGCAAATAGGCACCGAGCTTTCACGTCACACGCGCCTGACGTAAATCCAGCGCATCCGTTCTGACCGTTCCGACCAAGACTCCGACCACCGACCAAGTGATCCTCAAGGCTGAGATCACGTCCGTTCCGACCAAGACTACGCGTGTGTGTAGCCGTCCGACCAACCGTTCCGACCAAGGGATTCGTCCCGTCTGACCTCCGACCGTCCCTGCTCGTGCAGGCATCTGACCGTGATTCCGCGTGGTATCATTTCCGACACCTATCACCTCGCGACTATGATATCCGAGGAAGCCCTGCCCTCTGATCAGCCTCGCCGTTCCACCCGGCTTGCTGGCCAAGCCACTGAATCCGAAATAGTAGCCATGGCTGCCCCGAGCCCCAAGACGCTCTCATCCGCGAGATGAGGAACAGATTGCGGCCTTAACGGCCCGTCTAAATGAACGCTCTCTGTCTGTTGAATCAAATCGACAGCACCGGGAGCCCTCGACTGCTTTGCCGGCCCAAATGGCCCGGCCTTCCGACCAACAGGCAAAGCTGCCTGGCCTGTTTTTGCCCCCTTCCCAGAGGGCAAGAACCCCGAGTACAGCGACGCCGCCAAATCGCGCATCAAGGCCTCCGCGACGTTCTCAGGAAAGAAGGACGAGTTCCATTCCTTCATCCTGAGCATAAAGAACAAATTTGACGAAGACGTACGAACCTTCCGGACTGAGAACAGCCGGATGGTCTGTCTGTATAACCTGCTCGAGGAAAAGCCCGCCGAGCACTTGAAACCGCTTCGCCTCTGACACTCGACCCTTCTCTGGAGTGGCAGAGATGATCCAAGCCCTCGAGTCCGCCTATGGCAATCCGAATGAGCTTTCCGAGGCTCTTGACCGCCTGCAACGCCTCCAGTTTACCGTGAATGGGAAGACCGACATTGTGGACTTCCTTGCGGAATTTGACTACTTAACTGCGACCGGTCGTGTGCCTGAGGACCAGATGAAGCATACCTTGTGGCAGCACATCCCGGCCAACCTAGATAACAGCCTCTTGACCAAGACCCGTGACGAGTCCGTGACCTACGAGGTTTTCTGTGGGTTCATTAAGGACGCTGTCCACTGCCAGAAGAGGAGTATGAGGCAGACACAGGACTCCCGCTCTTCCGACCGATCTCGCCGCGCGCCGACTAAGACTGCTCCGACTACCGCCAAGACTCCGAACAAGACCGGCTCGACCCTATCACCTCGCGTGATGCTGGCAGAGCCTTGACCGACGATGAGAAAAGGGTCCATTGGGATAATGGCACCTGCTTTATTTGTGGAAAAACAGGGCACCTCTCGCGACTGTCCCGACCGCACCCATGCTGTCTCCCGTGTCGCCTCCGTCCCTGTCCCTGCCAACGACTCTGATCAAGATTCGGAAACGAATAGGACCATCACAAGACTCCTTGATGGTCCCTAAGGTGTCTGAATGGCGAGTAGGTCTAGCAAGTCATTCACTCTGCCAAGTCAAGTCCAAGTGGATGGTGTGAGCTTACCTGCCCGCTCCTCTGTGATACCGGAGCCGAAACCCGTTTGCTGGTTAGCCCAACCTTCGCCCAGTCCGCCGCCCAAAGACTCGGGCCCAGATTAAGGAGCTCCCGAGTCGGATTCCCCTCAAGACTTCCGTGGAAAGCCAGCCGGCTATATCCAGAAACAGCTGGTCGCCACTTTCGTCATCGATGGCCGTTCGTTCGCAAACGAGACATTTGATATAGCTGAGTGTGGCCATGATATCTTTATCGGTCTTTTCTGGATGCGGGAGAAGCGCCTCCTGTGACTGCGCCGCCCGACAGATCATCTGGCCAGATGATCTTCCTGCCCTCGCCAAGTTCTCCCCGACGATCCAGCTCTCGTCAAGCCCCGCTCTCGGGTCGGATCGACCCTAAGATCCAGGCCGACGCTGAGAGGCGGAACCGCCTGCTCGAGAAAGAGGAGAAACGCTACCGGATCCTCCACAAGAACTGGCGCCGCTCTGATCAAGCTCCTCCGGCCTCTGTCCCGACCCCGTTACCGACTCCGTCTCCGTCGTTTCAGTCCAAGTCTCCGTCTGCCAAGAAGTCTGTCCGTTTTCAGCTCACGACCGCCCCTGCTACCGACTTCGTCTCCGTCGCCTCGGTCCAAGCCTCCGAAGATCAAGCCTGATTAACGCCCTGGTCTGCCAAGTAGAGTCTCACGAGAGATTCGAACAGTGGAACGAACTCGAACCGTTGATGCCCCGGGATCCAGTCCAGCTCGAGCCAAGCTCCGGCCTTGACCAGACCGTCCCTAGTGCTCGAACCGTTGCTAAAGTCTCCCCGGATCAGAAGACCTACCAGGGACAAAGCATTCCGTTCCCTCAGGGAGAAGACCCTGAGCATGTTGCTTGTGTCCGTAGTCGTCTACCGCCCCAGCTCACCCATCTAGAGGGATTCTTCTCGAAGAAAGAGGCCCACACCCTACCTTCGAGCCGACCCGGTCACGATGTAGTCCTAGAGCTTGAGAAGCCTCTTTCGCCGACAGGACCCCATCGTACCGCACGCCCGTTAAGTATCTGCCTCTAGAAAGAGACTGTCGATCACCTCCGGAGATAGACTTCATCGAGCCCGATCCGAGTCCGCACGCCGCTTCTGTCCTCTTCGCTCCGAAACCGAACACGACCGCCCGCCGCTTCTGCATCGACTACCGTTGGATGAACGATCATCTTAAAAGTCGCATCACGCCCGCTCCGTCCCTCGAAGGTACTGCTTTCGGTTGCCGTGAAGCTCAACGCTTCACGAAGATCGATGTGATCCAGGCCTTCCACCGTCTCCGCATGGACCCTGACTCCAGTATTTGACCGCCTTTCGCACCCGTTTCGGAACTTTCCGCTGGAAAGTCCTCCCGTTCGGTCTGAAGGTAGGTCCCGCCTGGTTCCAGCAGTTTATCAACGCGCAGCTTCACGATCTCCTCGACCGGTGCGCCAGCGCCTACGCAGATGACGTCCTGATCTACTCGGATAAAGAAGACCACTGGAAGACTGTCAAGAAGTGATCTGGCGACTCCATCAGGCCAACCTCCAGGGAGACATCAAGAAGTCTAGATTTAACGTGACCAAGGTTGACTACCTCGGCGTTCTGCTTGAAGCCGGTGTGGGCCTTAGTGTCGACCCTCGGAAAGTTCGATCGATACAAGACTGGAAGTTTGAAGACCTCCGAGACCGCACCGCGATCCGATCATTCGTTGGCCTATGCAACTTCATCCGTGTTTTCTGCTACGCCTCCGGGTGGCAGAACCCTGAACCGGTTGCTTAAGAAGGATGTTGCCTTTGTGATGGGCCCGGAGCAACGCGAAGCATTTGATCAACTCAAGCGCCTGGCTATCGAAGCCCCGGTCCTCGCCTTCTTTAGACCAGAACTGCCGACCCGACTGGAGACCGATGCCTCCCGGAATGCCACAGCTGGTGTTCTATGGCAGGAACAGCCTGATCAGACCTGGAAGCCCGTTGGATTCTTCTCTAAGACCATGACCCCGGCCGAGCGAGCCTACCCAATCCAAGATCGAGGCTCCTCGCCGTCGTACAGAGTCTAGAGCACTTCTACCCAGAGCTCTTAGGCCAGAAGTTCGATGTGATCACCGATCACGAAGCCTTAGTCCATTTCTCTACGAAGCGCCTGCTCTCGGTACGACAGATCAGATGGTCCGACTTTCTCGCCCAGTTCGACATCCGTTTCCTCTACCGCCCCGGTCGACTGAACGTAGTCGCCGATGCCCTCTCCAGGAAGACAGCGGAGCTCCCTACCGTAAAGCCCGGGAAGCCGAGGAACGCACGGTGACCCTGATCCCTCCGGAAAGGCTAGGCTTCGCGACCGACTCTCTAGACCCTACGGCCGCCGGCAACCTGCCCCCTCAGAACTTTAGTCCCGAACCTAAGCCTACTAGACCATTAGTTCTGAGGGCCACGAGTGCCCTACAGACCCCAGAAGACCGAGGGATACAGCAGACGCCCGATCAAGACCGCCCAGAACTAGACCGAACTCGGTCCCGAAGGGAGCCGAACTCGTTTCGTTGATCCGCCAAGAGACCTCCTCCAAGACCTCGGTACCCATGGAACACACCTGGTCGTACCAGCCCAGACCTCAGACAAGCAGACGTTTCTTCAGACCGCGCTCATTCGCGAAGCCCACGAACCCCAGATCTTCGCTCACGCCGGACAGAACAAGGTGATCAAGCTGCTCCAACGAGACTTCTACTGGCCAAGGATGAAGGAGGATATCCGTCGTTATATTCGGAACTGCCACGACTGCCGCCGCAACAAAACCCCTCGAGACAAGACCCCTGGACTGCTCCATCCACTGCCCGTACCGACCTCTGTTTGGGAGCACGTCGAATGTGACGGAAGGATATGCCGAAAGACCGTTACGGATATGACTATGTTTGGACCTTCGTCTGCAAGCTAAGCCGGATTATCGCCACGCTCCCAGGAAAGAAAAACGATACGGCAGAAGTCTTAGCTAGCCGCTACTTCCGCTACCTCTATCGTTTCTTCGGTATGCCCCTCGTATGGATTTCTGACAACGCTGGACAGTTTATTTCTGCCTTCCTCGCAGAGATTAACCGGCTCACGGGAACGAAGCATCGTCATGGAAGCTCCACACCCTCAGACCCAGGTGTAGAAGTTACAAATCAATACCTAGATCAAAAGCTACGATTCTACGTGACGAAGCATCAAGATAACTGGAGTTCCCTGCTGCCCGCCCTCGACTTCGCCCATAACTCGTCTTGGCACTCTTCCATCGACATGGCACCGTTAAAAGTAGCCCTAGGCCGAGATATCCGGAACCCCTGTCTGCCCCCGACTGACAAGACCGCTGCCACCGGACCCGCCGCCAGAGCTAGGGAACTTGCGAACCGCCCAGAAACCCAGGGAAGCCGCAGGGAATGCTCCCGCCGCCGCTCAAGAACGTCAGAAGGAACAGGCTAATAGGAAACGACGACCAACCGACTTTGCCATCGGTGACCGAGTTTTTCTCAGCAGGAAAGGCTTCGCCACGAACGCTCCGACTACTCGGCTAGATAACCAATGGTCAGGTCCGTTCGTAATCCTGGAAGAACGCGGTCATAGCTACGCTGCAGCTGCCCGAGTCGTACAAAATGAAGAACCTATTCCACGCCGACCGTCTTCGAAAAGCAGCCGATAACCCCTTGCCCCAGCAGATCCAGTCACCTCCGCCACCCGAGGAGATCAACGGAGAACCCGAGTGGGAGGTTGATCAAGTCCAGCAGTCTCGAGTAACCGGTAGGAGTCGACGACTGGAATACCAGGTCTTATGGAAGGGATGTGACCTGATGAGACCTGGTACCCGGCTAGGAATTTCCGTAACGCACCAATGGCATTGAAGATTTTCCACGATGAACATCCGGACGCAGCAGGCCCACCCGTCAACCTGCAATACTGGATCGAATGTGCTGCAGCGGAGGAGGGCTGCGAGGAACGAGACGATGACGACACAGCAGAGAAAGCCGTGAAACCAAGAACCCGCCGCCACGACTGACTACCTTGATACGCATATCAAGGCCTTAGACGGGGGGTAGTGTCACGACCCTGGGCGCCGGCGTAGAGAGCCAGCGCAGAACCTCACCAGTGTCACGTGCCCAAGCAGCATCACGTGCCCACGCGCGACCTCGTGTCTATATAAGGGCCCGCTCGGTCGTGTAGTCTAGTCTTCCTTTCTTGCTCCTTAGCTTTGAGTCTTTGTTCATAGTGCCAATACATCTTTATAGCCGTCAAGGCTCGTATGTGCCTGGCCGTAACAAGAACTATATCCCCCTTAGTTTATATATAAATAAGACTAGCGCTCTTACTTTAAAGCTACTTACTTAAATAAAACCCTTATTTAAGAGGTCCTTAGCGTCTTCTTTAGTATTAGTAGCTCTATATATAATATACTATATAGCAGTCTAAATAGTATAGGTAGTTTTTACCTCTTCTTATTAATATAAAGTACGATCTTATAGTTTACCCCTAGCATATAAGTTAAACATCTACTTCCTAGGACTTAAATAGTAATAGGAGGTTATAAAGCGCTTTAGTATCTACTACTATAGCTTAAAGGGCGACTTTAGCTTCTTTATTTAAAGGGCCTTATTAATATCTACTAGGCTAACTACGTAGACTATAGTATTAGCCGCTGCCTAGCCTTACCCCCGCTCTACCTATTATATAGTTCCTATAAAGATAGAGGTAAGGACTTTTATATTAAGTATAAAGCTCATGCGCTTAGTCTTATACTTATAAAACTATCGTTATAGCGGATCTACTATTATATAGGCCTAAACTATAGCTTCCTTTAGTATAGAACTAAGTATAACTTTATATATAATAACTAGGGTTCCTAAGGATTAAGGGAAACTCTAGTTAGTAGATTATATAAGCTATAATAAGCTTAGTAACCGTCGACCTTTATAGCTAGCTATATAATGCCCTAATTACTATACCCTCTATTATACCTAAGGCGCCTTTACTTACCTTAAAGCGATCTTTTTTACTAGTACTTATATCTCTTATATAAGCGCTTTATTAACTAGGGCGTAGTACTAGTAGCCTATATCTATAAGGGCAGTAATAAGTAAGGAGTTATTAATTATAACCTATATTAAAGTAGGCTCCTTTTTTATATAAGCGGATAATTCTTTCTTTTCCTTTACTAGTATTAGTAATTAAGGCTCTAGAGCTTATCTTTACTCTAGAGCTACTTTTTTTCCTTTAAGCTTAGGGGGGTAAAGTCCTTCTTATTATCTAAGGTAAGGAGCGGTTCTATCTTTACTACTTAAACCGTTATAGGCCGCTTAGCTAAAAGGAAGGAGCATTTTAATATAAAGTATATAGACGCGCTATAATATAAGTAGCGGCCGTTAGCCTTCCTCTTCTTAATTTCCTCGCTTATTACTTACTTTGCTCGCTACTTTAAGTATAAGGTAGTATAAGGGTAGTCGATAGCGTCTTCTTATTACGTTTAGCCTAGTCTATATAGGTAGCTAATATTAAGGTATCCTTATTTATATCGATAGCTAGTTATTTATCTTATAAAGGAGCGGTAATCCTATCGCTACTATATAGCGTGCGCTTATGAGCTTCTAGAAACGCAGCGTTTACTTATAGCCCTATACTACCTTTATTAACTAGCTTATATACTCGCTATAGTTAGTAGGTATAATTATAAGGATAAGTAGCTCTTATAGGGCTAGCGTAATCGAATTTTATAGCTATATAAGCTTCGCGCTATCTTCTTATACTATAGTCCCCGCTACCTATAAGAGTATCTCTTTAAAATTAAGAAGGAATTTACTAAAGGTTTATTTATCTCTCTACTTAAGGGTCTATAGCCTATCTTATGCCTTCTCCCGCTCTTATACGTTGCCGAACGTATATATAAGGTATTAAAGAAGTCTTATAGGTCGCGTTTACCCCTAGAGTAGGTAGAAGCGTACGTAGGTACTATTTATAGGATAATATTAATAAGCTATATAGAGCTCTTTTATACGTAGCTAGCCTATATATATAGGATCTAGCCCTTTATATATAACTATAAAGCTTAGGCTATAGCCTAAGCTTATAATCTATAATAGTTAAAGACTCTTATAAAAACGCTAAAATAAGTCCTTAATAAGGTATCTTATAGCTAAATAAAACAGTATATAGCTATTATTAAATAAGATAATACTAAAATAAATTTATAGCGTGTTTTTATTACTCTTATACTCCTATTACTATTATATTAAAGTTTCTAGCTAGATTTACTAGAAAGTATAATAGAATTTCTCTTTAAGTACTAATCGTAACGTAAGCTATATTATAAATCTAAACCTAAAGCTACTCTTTTTATATACTATAGCCCTTTACTAAATTAAACGAGCCGCTTATAAGTAAAGTAGTTATAGATATTATAAGGAAGAAAAGGAATAATAAGAGGGCTTATACTAGCTACTTATCGTAATTATCTACGTAAGATAGTATCGCTAGCTATCCTATTACCTAGAATATATTAAGAAATCGCTAATTATACTAAAAGGTATAATATAAGCGGTATTAAAAGAAGGTAAAGATATTCTAGGATCTTTAAGCTATTTAACGTTATACTTAATCTTAAACTCTAGAAATACTTTTCCTTTTACTATTTAATCTTAAATTAAACTATATAGATAGTTTACTAAGTCTAGAGAAACTTAATATAGTAGGGAACTTAGGCCGCGGTTAATATAGTATACTATCTTACTTACGCGGCGTACTTAGGTTAGTTATCTTATATAGTTTCTTAATATATAGAACTTATTATACCTATTAGTAAAGTATTTAGCGCCGAAACTAGATATATATTAGCTAGCCCTTTATATAATTTCTTACTTAATAAGGTATATTTTAGCGTATTATAGTTAGATAGGTATAAGAATATACCCTTATATTCCTATTTTACTATTATAAAGAAATAATAGGCATAGAGAGGCTTTATAGAATAAGCTAGTAAAAAGAGGCTCTATAATATAGTCTAAGGGAATAACCCTTAAAAGACAAAGACCTCTACTAGATATCT